TACCATAATTTTTTTTGATGCCCATTTGTAAAATACATTAGGTACTGTGTGTGTGTGTGCATTAAAAGTTTTGCAGCAGTTTGTGCAGCGCCCCTATCGGGCATAAACTACACCAAAAATCGCATACAAATTTCGACATATTTGACTATAGCCCTGCTTTTTTACCTTATGTCGCACGTATGCGGAGAGATCGTGCATGTGGTCGTACAGGTCGTCGAGGAACTCATCCCGTTGCGCGCGCTGCTCCTCCTCCAGCCCCTCACCGCGCAGCTCCACGCTCACCACCTCGCACATCATGCCCAGCACTGTTATACGCAGAGTATAGCTCTGCAAACACAACACACTAAATTATACAAACGATTAAATAACAGTGACTATTATATTTATAAAAGTTTTGAAACCAAAACTAGTAACATAATAGGACATAATTAAATTGGGTCAAAATGCTAGGATATAGTTCAATTCTCTAACTTCTTGTAGTCATTATGTCTTTTGGCACTTCTAATTCAGGTTCGTAATAAAAAGTCTCAAACTTTTTAAGATATACAAAATCTATTTTTTTTCATATTAGTAAAGTGCAAAATTTTACCTCATCAGTTTCTAAATAAGGTTGTAATGTTGAGATAGCCTTTATCATTTCTTTGGGCAGTTCTTTAGTGAGCTCCAATAGAAAGGCGCCGTAGTTCCTGGCGGCGCCCTGCTCCGTACCCATCCCTCCTGCATCCTCTTCCGTTGATGCTAATGATACTTCTATTTCACGCACCTTAAAATTACAAGATAAAACAAAATACATGTATACATGTATTATATTTATTTTATCCATTAATAATCATATATCACTAAACAAATACTTGAAGATAAGAACTTACCATTTGAGGTCCAAAGGTGCCAAGTCCGAAATTTTTCGTCAACTGTACAACACCTGCACAAATCGGTGATACAGCATGTTCTACAATTTCTAAAATCTAAAAAAAAACAAAGAAAAAAGGTATAACATGATTCAAAAGTCATATTTATTTTATTTAATAATTATTTTATGTATTTGTATACCTGAACTAATTTAATAAGGCAGGCAGTACCATGGTTGTACTTTTTTACCAACACTCCTAGCACTTGGAACACAGTGTCTCTAACAGTTTTGTTTTTTATAATTTGCTCCTCCAATGCCTTGTAGCAGGGGTAAGCTACCATACTGCAAAAAAAGTAATTTAAATTCTAACATATTAAGAGTGAAGAGACTTTTAATTAAACATGCTAAGAAACTAGAGCCATGGAAACACAAAGGTGATTTTAAATGCCCAAATAATATACTCAATATTAAGTGGGTAGTGAATTTAATTCTTTTACTATACATTTATGTAAAAAGAAAATAGTACACTCACACAACAAAGTTGTCTTCAGCCAGTGGTGGATCCCACAGGCGTGACAGGGGCTGCTGGACCAACATGTGCAGTGCCACTAAAGCCTCCAGTTTGTCAGACTCTGTCCAACCACAAAATTCCTCATCTGTATTCTTTGCTTTACCTTTCTTACCTAATGTCAGCTTTGTAGAATTCTACAACAATAACTAAAACAATCAATCTTACTAATATTATAAAGGAAAAAACTTCAATAAATATATGAATGTTTGTTAGAATGTACTGAATAATCTGGATGAATTTGGTACAGATGTAGAATGTGGTACAGAAGTATGGATAGGCTTATTGTGGATGTAAACTAGTGTTAAAATTAAGTAATAAGCATATTAATTTAAATTAATTATTACATAGTACAGGAAAAAATTATGGCAAAACTTTTAAGTAATAAAGAGAAAAACAACATACATCAGCAGTAAGTTTAGCATCCTTTGTTTTCATTATTTCTGTAAATAAATACATGACCATCTTCACAATATTCAGATATTTGCATCTTATTTCAGTAGCTATTTCTTGTTCTTGAAAAATGACTTCCAACTGATTGCAAAGACATTTCACTGTTCTGAGAATGTGTTCATACCCTAAAATGAAATTTTAAGATTGTTAAGCAGCTCGACGTGTTATCATGTCATCATAATAATTGATATTGCAAAATGAGATTCTTCGTTCTTGTTTTCAAATGGATAATGAAAGTATTTACCTTTGTTTATAACATTCCATTCCAGTTTTGTTCCATGTACAATTACGGAGAAATATGTATCAAAATGTTCTAAAATATATTCCACTCCGTCCGAATTGTAGGCGCGCGCAGCATCTGTTATAAGTTGAATGTAAATTCAGTAAACAACTAAGTGATAAGTAATTGTTAAATTACAAATAGTTTGTAACGAATATACTGACCCTGTAGTTTTGATAGTAAAATCCTAGGTTGGACCACATCCTCAACATGGTATTGTCCACTGGAAGATTCCAAAAGCTCATCTTTTTGCAAAGGTATTGAAAATTCAAAATTCATTTTTAGTTTCATTCGAACTTGAACGCATTAACGACATTTTGTTTGAAAATATGTCAAAGCCAGTTTGACATTACTTTCTTAAATAAACGCTTGTGATTGGCTCATTTTATCATAGAGTAAATAAAATCCCCATGGGTATTGGACAAAAAATCATCACTGTATGTTCCAGGCCGAACTTTGCTGAACGAAATTTTTTTACATGCTTTCAAGATGCAAACATGAAAAGCTTTTTTTTTATTTTTGTTACGAATAATACAAGTTTTATATGTAAAATACAAGAACAAAAATACTTTGACGTTCTATTCTGTACGAAATAATTATTGCGACTGGTATGCTTTTTGACACGTTTATACAGCGAGTTAAACGTCAAGTGACATGTAACGTAAACGTCATCGACTTTCAAGTTTGGCTGCTGTTTCTCTTCTGTCTTGTCAGCTGTGATTAGGTTACACGTTGCACTTAAACATACCGATAATTATTTATTCTTGAGCAGTGTATTAATAAGGTGTTTATTTGATATAGCAGAATAATATTAAGTTCACAAAATGTCCGGAAAAGGTAATAAAGCTTTTACAAAAGAGGAGGAACTTCTGCTTCAAGATTTCAGCAGAAATGTGTCAACGAAATCTTCAGCATTATTCTATGGCAATGCATTTATTGTTTCTGCGATTCCTATTTGTAAGTATAGCTGCTTCTTTTGTTTAATTTGGCCAAACACTTCTTGTTTATACAGTATTTCATACATAAATCCATGTTTCAAAGAGTGTAAGAAAGTTTATACAAAGTGAAAGTTATGACTTAAAGAATTAATTGTGACTATTTATTGTATCTTACGTTGATTAACATTCATATATTTTGTAAATTTCAGGGCTGTTTTGGAGAGTACATGCTTTGGAAGTGAGCCCTTCACTTGCATGGTTTGGTGTGGTAACAACTGCCAGCACTTGGTTGTTAGCCTTAGCTTACCGTAATACTAAGTTCCAGCTGAAGCACCGCGTGGCTGTACGCCGGGAAGACGCAGTCGCTAGGGAGATGACCAGGAAGTTGGCTGATGATAAGAAAATGAGCAGAAAAGAAAAAGATGAGAGGTAAGATATGGCCAATAACTAATCTTGGCTAAAAGACTTTGACTTAGTTCATTTACCTTTTAAATCTACCCGATATATAAAAAAAATATCCAACTCAATGTAATATGTATGTAGTTCCCTATTATAAAATGTTATTTAATTTAAGATGACAGTTGAATAATGTTATGGGTACATGGAACAATTACTATATTTGCATTTATTTCATTGTATATTATTCTGACAATTCCTTCAATTTGTTTTCCAGAATTCTTTGGAAGAAGAATGAAGTGGCTGACTATGAGGCAACAACTTTCTCCATCTTCTACAACAATGCATTGTTCCTGACAATTGTGATCCTGAGCAGTTTCTACATTCTACGCTCATTCACACCAACTGTGTATCCTTTTTATAAATACAACTGATGTTTTATAACTAACAGATTCCATGTTACTACAAATTTTCCATATAAAAGTGAACTCACTGTTGATGGAACTAAATGTGAATTAACATTTCAGTTAACCCTCATAGCTGATTCTTAATTATTTAAACATATCTTTTATTACAGGAAATAACTTTTTAATAAAAATTAGCTTTTAAGTTTCGTGATGAAGAGCATTTAGTATGACTAATTGTGCTGTAATTATAAATTTTCTTATAAGAAAAAAATGTATAATTTAGAATATATAATATTTCAAACTTAAGTGACAAAATACCTGTCCACTAGTAATTAGAAGAAGAGAGACATAATACCTCCTTTATCTTACCTTTATTTAACATTTCTTCATTAGTTTGCATCTAACCAGTATTATATCTTCAAGGTTGAATGTCTGATAGTAATGTTAATTCAATTAAGCACTAATTAAGTTTAACTTCTTCTAATTCAGTTCGTTAAGTATGCATGCTCTATATATCTATAGTGCATCTTTCAATCCATCTACTTTAAACATTTTGTTGAAAATGTTTTGGGACACTTGCATATAATATTATGCATAGACTGGCAGACAAAATGCCATCATTTTGGTATCATTCCCTTTTACATTGTGTCATTTAATACCATTCTTGTATGTCTTTACAATATTTGGGTTATATAACTTACCTGAAACATAAATTCCTTAATATTTTCGTACAGTAATTATATTGTATCTTTAACAGCGGCGTCTGGATTTTTAGCACTGTTGTCCACAGGAACAAAATGAAGATTGATGACTGAGTGATGTGCTTTAGATGCCTGATCCGCACAAATATCGAGGCACAACACACCAGAGTCTATACTCAATTTTAAGTTATTTAAGTGATGTGCTCTTTATGGTCGCATTCTGTTAATAGATTTAATTTTAACATAATAAATGAAAAGATTTTTAAACAGTCTATCGTTTTATTTACAATCGTCTAGAAAAGTATAACTTATAAAATAATCTTACATTTATTTTAGTAAATACAAAAGGACAGGGGATTTCCAAACTAATTAGGGTGGGTTGAATTTTAAGTATAAATCACAAAATGTCATTTTTAAAGTTTTCTTGACTTGCTATTGCTTAAATACAACTCTATTTACAATCCACAGCAAGGCAATGTTCCTTGTAACACATTTTCACTGCAAATACGTTCGCTTGGTACTTTGCCAACATTTCTTTGATAATAATCTTGGTTGGCTTCCTCGTGCTATTAACATATACAATCGTAGACAATCAAGAATTTATAAAGAATGCTTTTGTTGTTATGATCGATGCCAGTGGCATACTTCTTAACGGTTAACATTGAGATTAGAAATGATTTTGGCATGGAGGGGTTTTTTCGACTGGGTTAGCAGTCGGGCTGTCAAATCTCAGTGTTCTCTTGTGGAACGTTGGTTTGTCAGTGGCTCAGTACATCATGCCGACGTGCAGCGGCTCCGAGCGCTGGAAGAAGACGTTGGGGTTGCTGCTGAAGGTGGGCTCGACGCTCGTGTACACGTTGCCCTCCTCCGGTCGCATCATCACGCCTGTATACAAAATAAACACTTATCAAAATAAATTTAAATAACTATAGATATACTTGGATCATAATCTTATAGCAGTCCATCTGCTCATTTGACTTATTTTTCTTATTTGGCTTGATTTCGTCGTTTTCAAATATTTTTGCGCTATCTGGTGAGAAATTCTTTTACTTAACTATAGTACAATAGTGAGAAAACATTGTGCTTGAAATTAGAATTACCTGGTGGAAGTAGATAATTATAAGGTGGATAATTATATTGGTAGTGCATAAGAGGGTGCGGGGGGTAGTGCGGCGGAGAGCACAAGGGGCGTGCGTGCAGGTGCGAGCTCGCGAACATGGCGCCGTATGGATCTGCAATCATAAGGCGGTGAGCTGCGATCAAATCGTGCGTGGAAGCGCTAGATCTTACGTATTAGCGCGCCGTAGATACTTAACTAACCGGCTTGCTGAGCTGGGGGCTCCTTGCGGTCGAGCATCCCAGGCTGCGACGGCGCGGGTGCCCCGGCCGACACCATGCCATACTTCACGGGCTTAAAGTGGAAAAAGGAAGGCGAGTAGCCGGAACCACCAGCGCCCAGCGAGCTAAGTCCCTCCTCCCGGTCTGCGTCCCACCGGCCCTCTCGGCCTAGCGCCGCCAACCTTCGTCCTTTGGGAGCGAACATCAATGCGAACACGACGACGCAGGTGGCGAGCAAACCGGCGGCCACGCACACGTCACGGTGCGGCTCCGGTGCGCCGAGCGCCGCCGCCACCCAGCACACCCACACCGCAGCTGTCGCACCGCTGGCTCCAGCGATGTGCGTCGCCTCCCGGTAGTTATCGCGGATGCCACGTGATCGTAAGGCGACGCCGCACACCACCGCGATCAAAAAGGCGGAGTAACATAACGATAACAGGAGGTCCGAGAGCGCGGAGTCGCAGCGCGCACCGCCGGCAGCGACCCGAGGCGGAGAGCTGCCGAGCCACTGCGCGCCTATCGCGACTTGTATCATCACAGCGAAAAACAGAAGCAGTCCTTGATACGCCGCAGGAAGGTATACGCCGCCATTTAAACTTAACAAGAAAACGCATTTAACTAGTAGCGACGCAAAAACGATAACGTAAGCGACACCTGTGCCGAAGCGAACCGCACCACACGTGAAAGCGTTCGGAGTCGCAGTGTAGAGCGCCGCGGTCGCGGCACTGAAGAACAGTCCACACAGTAATGTTTGACCCAGCAGCAAATGACGTTGATTCGGTGCCTTTCGGCTGGCACCCCAAACTATAAAAACTTCAAATCCACCAAGAGTTAACATGCTAACACACGCGATCGCCAGTATCGGCACAGCCCAAGCCTCTGATCGTAATGGACCTACGGAAGCTATTTTTGGTATCGTCTGTATAGTATTATTTCTGGGCACTTTAGAAATGGATGTTTTAGAAATGATAACGGGACGTGACGACGTCGCTGGCGGCTTTGAGGAGGTGCGTTCAGGAATAACGAAGTACTCGGTGCTCATTTCGAGACGATGTGCTTCTGTGCGCACGGGCCGGCGCGGTGGCGGCGCCGGCTCGGGCGGCTTCTCTTCTTCCTCTTCGGATCGGTGATGGCTGTCGTAGTCTTGAACGTAGTCCTCGTAGTCGTCGTCGGCGTAGTGACGTGCCGATGGCGCATGGCGAGGCGCGTAGGCCGCCGGGACGCGCGGCGCTAGTCGGTCGCCGAAGCGGGCGGCGCCGGCCTCCGCCAGGGCCGCCAGCGCCGCCGAGAGCAACAGCGCGCGCACCGCGGTTGCCATCAAGCCGTCCCGGCCGCGACTGCCATGCCTTCAGCCCTCAGCCCTCACCGCTGGCACATCCGCACTGCATACGCTGGCCCTGCGGACAAAACGTCCCGTCAGTCATGCACCAAATATCTGAGGTCGCATAGCAACGTCTCGACTTTGAGATAACCAAACAAAGAATCTCCCGGCCGAACCGGTTTGTCGGCTTGCAACTCTAGGGACCCTAACTTTGCCGATTTGGAATTCATTCTTGTTTTATTTAAGTCTACAATGTATCCAATGGGCACTAAATTTTAAGATATCTTATAGATACAGCCTCTAAAGGAACAATCGAAGCTTTTTATGGGATCTTGCTTGTATAATATATTGGTATCTACCAGCTATTTATTTTCTTTTTTTTCGCGTAACCAATGTTTTATATTATATGCAAGTAGTGTTGTTGCGCTTAGATTTAGGTAATTAAAATTCAGGCAAAATTGTGTGATAAGCAAATTCGTACAAAAAATAGATTAAAAATTAATATCGACAACGAAATACGGATTGTTTGTTTGTAACACATTGAAGAAATAAAAAGGCGACAGTTAGTATGATTCAATAAATATAAAAAAATGCGCAGAGCTGGCAATATGTTGATTTTATGGGTTGTTATGTTACTTTTACTATTATAAAAATTAGCATTTAAAGATGTTTACCAGAAATTATGTTATATTTACATTTTTATCGCACCACAATCTAATTATTAAATTTTATGATTGTTTTAGAGGTTTCTTTAGCGGAGAGAGTGGCACCTACACATTCTTAGAGATCTACCTTACTAATAATATAAATGCGAAAGTTTAGATGGATGGATGAATTGATGGATGCTTGTTAGAAGTTATCTACGTAACGGCTTAACGGATCTTGATGAAATTTGGCGCAGATGCCAGCCTGGAAGAACACGTATGTTACTTATTAAGTTTTTTTTTAAATTTCGCGCTGACGGAATCGCGGTTGACAGCTACTTATCTATAACATTTAAATTTCTCGTGTTTTAAATTGTTTCTTGATTCAATAATTAATACAATTTGAGCGACAGAACCGAACAAGGCATTAGAAAAGCTGCTGTAAAAGAGTAGGTGATATTAAATACGAAAATCGATGATAGGCAATTTTAGAAGAATTATGACGTTTTATTTTAATTATAAATTTAATTATGGACTTTTATGTAATAGCGTTTTACAGTACTTTTCTACCGCTAAGGGTACATTCAATGCATAGATAAAACTAGCGAAACATGTTACACGCTATTATGACATACCGTAGAAGACTGCCAAGTATAGAAAACGATTCAAGCCGTACCTGCAACTTAATAAGGGTGCTTACAAACGAAGATAGCAGGAATCTAACCGTTATAAGTTTTTCTGTTCCGTTATTAAGCTCTTTAATCGTTTAATTTATACGTATTTTTCACCTTTCAATGCAGTTTATTTTAGCAAAAAAACTATATGTACATGGTACTTGATATCTTCAGACTGGTTTGCGGTTAGTTAAAAATTATAATAAATGTTGATGATTTTTATATTAAAGTTGAGATTCTTAAACAGCATTCCGTTTGGCAGATTACACTTCAATATAATGTTAACTGAATAGTTTGTTTTAGGATGCACTTCGACGTTTACACATTAATCACGACCACTGGGTATAATTTAATTTGTTTCATTATCTAGAAGACAACGATACATTTCGTAATCCTATTTTTTGTGTTTTTTTTTATTTGATCAAACTAAGTGAAATACGAATATTTTTTAATTGAAAGTTGAATCTGTATTGAGACAGCCCTAGCGACATCTGACGCGACACAGCAGCGACGTCTGACCGGATCGGGGCAATGAACGTATTAATTCGCATCCCCTGAAGGCATAGAACATAGAACATGGCATTGGTACATATTGCGTGTAGGAAAAAACCCCTCGCACTGGTTAGAGTTTTTTTTTGTTCAACTAAAGATTCAGGTTTTGTAGCGAACTACTTACATTATAAAATTCATCGATGCTCATCATATTCCTGGGATCACGTCAAGTTAAAAAAGTTGATTTTTTTTTAAAGAATGAGATGAAAATGCAAAAGACATGTAATGATAATATTTTAAAAGCATAAACCCTTTTTTTGCGCAAGAGTATAAGCAACAAATGCATAGTGTGGATAAATTAATTTACATTTTTTAAATCACATCATAATTATGCGTGAATTTACTCTTTGGATCGTTAAAGAACAATAAACCAATAAGAAGGGCCCTCGATGGGCTCGAAACTAGTCGGTGCCGCCACCGGACGTATATACGTTAGTGTTTAGCCGTTTTTATATAAGTTTATTATAATATCTCACGAAAGTTTGAATAATAAAACATTGTTTGTATTTAATAAATTGTGAACTTAGCGTATTACTAGCAAACACCGTACTGTTAAATAGATGCTGCAAATAAAGTAATATTATAAAATGTGTTAGAAAGACTCCCTCCTTAATATTTCCTAGACAGCTTTTGGTTTATTGCGGCTCGTTATCGACCGAGGTTCAATTTATCCAAATTTGGCGCGCACGACGTCGGCTTCGACTTCGTAGAGGAGATATTTAAGGTTATTTACTCGCGAATTTCTATCTATAAAAGGTAAGACAGATAAGAAAATAGATTGTATAAGAGTTTATGAAGCCGCGTCGTGACTTTGAACTTAAAGCGAGTACTGTGAGATTTGGAGCTGAAATAACGGGAAGCAATTTCGTGAACCTCTCGGGGAGAACCGAATCGAGCGACGGCTGCGAACAAACGAAACGCAACGGTATTACGTGGTGTTATCTTAATCGCATCTTTATCTTTTACCACCAAAGGAGTTGTTGATGATTTGCTATCAGACAGGTCAAAAGAATAAACAGACTATCCTGTAATTATCTTAACTCCTTAGATTGCGAATTAGATTTCCAGATAACCAAACTAATAATTACTAGATGTACACTTAAGAAATAATCTATTCCATTTGTTTCCATTACAACTATGTTCTATAAGTAAAGTTAAAATAAAAAAAACTTTTTCAAGTCTGCGGACAATAAACGTACAATCAGAAAAGTTACACAAACATTGTACAAAAATATATCGAAACGATTGTATGAGGACGGTGCAATTTATTTTGTAATACAGAACAGTATAAGCTCTGAGCACGCGAAACTGTTTCCGTCCGTTTAGATTTCATTCGTAGCACGCAACTATGAATATGTAATGAAGGTGTGATCGTTGTTCTAGTCATGTAAGGTAGCCAAGTAATTGCCAAATTTGGGATTTTGTTCATAGAATTATAGCTAGTCAATGTACGTCAAAATATAAGACAGTTTATTTTCAGGATTTATGCTATGTTTTTTAGCATTGGAACTCCAAGTGGGTTTCGCTCAAAACTTAGGATTGCGTATTTTTTTAAATAGCCTTTGTCCTTTTCTATTGTTCTCATAAATTGCGTCATATTACCTGGTCCTAATAATTTTGATGATATCAAATTTTAATATAAATTCAAGAGAATTAAAACAATTAGTTCTTAAACAATATAGATAAGTTGCTAAACTAAATATTAAAGAATGGAATGGAATGTTTAGATGAATTGAATGACCTATATGCAATCCTTGAACTTATATAATAATAATCTATTAATCTATTTATTAAAACCATCTCATCTGTTTGTCAATGTAGGTACTGGTCATTATAGTATAGCTTCGCTTCGACATACAATTTGGCGGGTCTTTACAATGATCCTGGGCAAATTTAAAACGGGCTGAAATCACAATCCGTCAGTGTCACATACAAATGTAATTCAAAATTTTAATCGGGACTATTTTAAACTAATGATAATAGTTGGTAGCCTACTATCTTAGCGTTTAAATGTCAGTTACATAAATTGCACCAGGTGTTCATATCTGTTGTGAAACTTTTGTTCATTTCATGTGTGGGATACTGTCGTAATAAATAATTATAACCACAACTAGATTACTATCAATGCGAGCTGTTATTTGTCCGATTATGTTTCATGACCACCTATTATGTAATCCATTGTAAGTCAAAACATTTAATTCATCAT